TTATTAATTCGTTGTTATAAGTTATAAATGGTCCAAACAGTTGTTTTTGAACTTTATTCAGGTTTCTGGAAGTCACTTGTTTGCACACAAAGACACATACACACACTTTTTCTTCATTTATGTACACCAGGTGAGCAAAACCCTTTATCAGACCTCATAAATTTTCTATAAAACTCCCCTACAGTTTATTTTTGTTGGAGGAAAACTTATTGATTTAGAGATTTACTTTTAACCACTAAAAAGCTTCGTTATGAGAAACATAATGCATGAGGATTACATTCTGTTTAAGCTGCAGGTCAGGCTTGTCTGGGCGAGTAAAGTAAAAACAATAACAAAAAAAAAAAAAACAATTAGATGGGGGTCATGGATTCAAGCCAGAAGAGTTTTATGGAAATCTCAGCATACAATATGCTCTGTGTGACAGAAACTGTAGATTTGAGTCATCCTTTAACATCTGATTCAGTCCAAATCTGATGCAAATACAATCTGAACACTGCCTTTGTTTTATTGACCTTTCCTTTATYAGCAACAATAGGAGGAAAAGAAGTTTCCTTTTCTGTGTGTAATGAGGACAAAATAAGCTCAGGAAGGAAGACAGCAGTTGTCAAACATCACTCTTGTGTTTGAGCAGCTAAGTGTTTTCCTCTGGACTATGACCCAAACGGGCAGATGTGTTATCATGAAGAAGATTGGTCCAGCAGGTTTTAGTATCATTTAAATCCAAAGGTCGCTTTTTACCTTTATAACACAATATTCCAGAACACTCTGAGCTCACTGCAGGTCTCACACATTTAGAAATTCTTTCACTGCATTTCACATCCACAGTGATTTTTTTATACTATTCAGTTCTTGAGGGGTGACAGATTAGTCTTTCAATCTTTTGTGACCTGAAAGGGATCAGAATGTGTGTTTGTGTACAACGAGAATGCAATAATGAGGTCTGACTCATTGGTCCAGACTGTGAGGTCTGTTTAAAGACCCACACAACCATCTCTCATATTATCGGTGGTCAGCAGTGCTGTCAAGGCCTCTATAAAGCCACTCTGGTTAATTTCCTGAGCCCCCAGTCCCTCCATCTATCCCGCTCCCACCGCCCTCAGCCCCACTCTTTCCAAATCCTTCAGAGCAGGTGAGATGATATCAAGTTTCATGGAATCGGACCTGCGCAGCTCCACCCTTTTTTTTTTGTTTTTCCATGAAACGCTGACAAACGCACAAGCAGGTTTGTTCTCTACTGAGAATCGGCTTTACAGTCCTCTCTGAATGAAAACACCCCTCTGTTCTCTCACCGAGTGGAGATGGAATGCAGAGTAGGATTTCAAGAGAACAAAATGAGCATTATACCTCAGTAGTCTGCACAGGTGTCATCCTCTGCAGCTGCTTTTTATATTTAAAATGTTCCAATATTCAAGATAGTTTTATTAACCCGTAAGTTTAATGAGTTGTGAATTGTTTTTTTTTTTTTTTTAGGAATGAGCGTGCTCGGTGGATCAGCGCACTAGGACAGAATGTCAACAAGAAAAGTCACGACCGAACCAGTAAGTTTATATTTATATATTATATTTAGTTTTAGTAAGTAATGACTCCCTGCTCTTTTTTTTAGCCTACTGCTCCATCTTGTGGTTAAGTAGTGAAACAACGCTTTACTGCAGTGATTTACCTCCATAAGAGATTTTTGCTGAACTGTTCTGAAATGATTTATGGCACTGTTTTTTTTTCCAGACATCATCCAGGTGGAGGTGATCAGAACTTACACAGCAAAGCAGCCAGATGAGATGTCCCTGCAGGTGGCTGATGTGGTTTTGGTCTCGCAGCATGTGGATGGTACATACATTATGATGCTTTGGTTTTCACTCCAGCAGCTGCACTCACTGCTTTTTTTGTTCATATTCCTCTAATTTTCCCGCATTCTCACGTCATCCACCTCCTTTCATCATGCACTTTCGCTCACTCTACCTTTTACTACCTATCTCTTTTGCATAATAAACCTGATGTGTTTTAAGTTTTACATCTATGAACTCAAAAAAAAAAGGAAGTCAAAGTTAATTTCATATTTGGTGACCATAGCAACTGGCTCTCGTAAAAGTAATTACAGTTGTGAACCCACAGAGCTGTGAAAAAAGTATTTACTCCCAGATACCTTTTTTTGCTACCCTTTATTGTCAAATCATGAAATCTGACCTTAGCTGAAGCAAGTGAGGTCTTTAGACCTTTAATTGTTCTGTTCTGTTTTTTATTTTATTTATTTTGTGGCGGGGGTGGGGGGACGATGTGCTTTGGCAGCAATTTTGGTTGGTTGGCCACTCCTGGGACTGTTCACCACTGTACTGTTCTGTCTATTCGTGCATAATTCCTCTATTTTCATTGATTTCTTGATTCTACAGCTCTGGTAGTAATTTTACTTAGGTGTGGCTTGTGCAATTAAACTCAGCATTCCAAACAAACAAACAAAACAAAACAAAAAAAGATAATTCATGATTTAACAGTTTAACTTTTTCGTATAGGTTCAAGTTGGTTTGAAAAACTTTCTTCCAGTGATAAATGAAATCCTGATTTAAAAACTACCTTTATCTATCTATGGGGTCAAATACTTTCTCCCAGTACTGTAAGATCAAATGTTTCTCCTCGCAGGCTGGTATGAAGGCGAGCGACTGCGTGACGGAGAGTGGGGATGGTTTCCAGCCGAGTGCGCTGAAAAGATCACGTGCCAAGCCACAATCGAGCGCAACATGCAAAGAATGGATCGCCTGCAGGGTCTGGAGACGAACGTGTGACCAGACAATCAGCTCGAAAAGGGATTTTTTTTTCCAGGCTTATGGTGACCCTTTGTCACTCCAGTTGCTTGTTTTTTTTTTTTAAAGCACTAAACTCTTAACACATGAGGTCAGAAGGCGACCTACCTTCAAGGATTGATTTGTTAGCCGCTAGCCTGCCCTGCTTCCAGTAAACACCAATCACTTGTCAGAGTTTCAGACTGTTTAGCAGAAACTTTAAGGACAGTTTTCTTAATTAGTGATTGGTCTGTGTGTGTACGTAGGGGGGTATGTCACTTCACCCCCCACAGCGAAAGCCACAACTTTTAACACCCTGCCACATCCCAACTTGCATGAAATTTTGTAAATTTTTAATTTTTTTTCCCCCAAGCACATTCTTCATAAATGATGTGCAGTCTAATGAGTTCAGCGCCTCTGTGGGAGGTAAAGTAGACCAATTAGTGAAACTTCGACAGCAGCCCGGTACGCGCTCCGTTAACGAGGCTCGAGGGCCACGTGTTGAGAAGCGTCACGAACAGTGTGGCCACCAAGATGTTGATTGTACAAGTGATAACAAGGCAAGACTGGCAGCTTTTTAACAGTGTACACCCCCGAGTGTTTGGGCAACATCTGATGGCGAGTGCGATTCTGGCCATGGTTATGCAACGCTATTCAGAATTGATTGAACAATTATTACAAATGATAGCCATCAAGTGATCTATGAGTATCTGCACTCCAGCTTGTCATTTGTCACCACTTAATGCCAACGCCATGAATCAGACACACAAGTATTATTCACTCTGTCCGTACAGCAGCTGGGATGGCCAGAAATCACACACACTTGATGCCAGCGCAGACGTTAAAAAGACGTAATGTTAAAATAATAAACGTGTGTCTGCTGATGGTGAGAACAGAACCGACGGGCGACCCCGCCTGGACCTGCTTTCAACGCGATTGTCCAGCGTGAGTCATCTTTTTTTAAATTTATTTTTTAAAGTGTTGCCCAGCTAAATGAAATAAACAGCTCGACCAGAGGATGGTAATAACACAATCTATCAAGCCCACAGTTCTGGCACCAAACCAGATGACAACCACTAACTATTCCAACAACACAAACTGAGGTTTGGCAAAAACAAGCAGAAAAATGTGGCCGATTAGAGTCTCTATCTTAGCTTTGCATTTGCACTCAGGGAGAAAGAAGTATTTGATTAAACTCATCTAAAGTTTTTTTTCAGTCATTTTTGCTTCATGTAACTATTGTAAATCAGCTATGTATATGTAAATATGTAAAACTGTAAAATTGTATAAATATAGACTGTTCTAAAAATAACCTTGTGTATTTCAATCTGCTCCTGCTATTAAAAGCATAATTATGTGAACTTTTGTCATAAATAGTGATCATTTCCTGTAAATTATTGCAGAATCAAAGACATGGATTTCTTTTTTATTTCTTCAGTGACATTCAAAATGATCATTTTAGGCATCGGAGCCTTCAGCACATTTTAAGAAGTACTATGGAAGTAATTGCAAACGCTTCTCAGATGTTTTTTCATAAATCAGAACAGCTTATGACCATGAAAGTGACTATATTTCAGTGTGATGGTATTCTTAACCTCATGAGACAGATGAAGCTAAGCAATGCAATGGAGGTGTTTTTTTTTAAACAACTAAAGGTAAAGTTCTGAACTATTGAAGAGAGCTGGTGAGCAAAWAACATCTTACCTGCTGTAAAGACTGTTCAGTTCTGGCCTTTTTTAGCAGGGCCAAGAGCAAAGTTGATTGCTGCCGTTTTAAAATGACTTCAATCTCTTAAAATGTCCAGGCAGCTCATGCAAACACGAATAAACACTATCAATTTTACATAAGTTATTTACATCAATTTCTGAGGTTATCTGAAGCGCAGCAGTTAGCTATAGCACTATCTGCACAGCTTTGGGCATTGCCTGAAGGAATAATATATTTCTGCTAATGTAAAACAAATAGCCATGTCAAAAAACATAAATTTGAGTTAGCCAAGTGTGCTATGTAGTTTTAAGGCTTTAGCTAACCATTGTGATCTTGGACAAGCATTTTGCTATACAGTCCTGTCAGAATTATATTTCTTCAAATGGAGGTCATTCAAGGACTCATTTACAAAAAAAAAAAAAAAAAAAGACTTTCCACAGAACCCCACATCAAAAGCTCAGAACTTTTCCTTTAAAGGGGAGTATCATGCAAAATCCACTTTTTAGCCATTAAATACATATTGTTTTGTACTTGGAGTCTCTAGGAGTGCAGAAAGTTGAATTTAGTAATGAGGAGGAATTCAGACCAAAGCATTGCAGTTCTACCTTTAAAGAAGGATTTAAAAGCATGACATTTCCTTTAAGGGGCATTGCTTAGAAAAAGAAAAGTCTATTTCCAATAAACAAACAAACTGCTTCTGTGAATGGTCTCTGAAACATAAAAAAACATTATTTTTATTACTTTGGCCTTTATGTTTATCATCAACATCTTCCAGGAAGTGCTAAAGTTTAAACCAAGAACCATCAGGGATGCTTTCTGTTTACCATAAATCTAGGTGCAGTCAGTCATTGCAAAGCTTTTTCTGCAACGTCCATCAGACGCCTGGCTGCTTCTAATCGTCGTCATCATCATCTTCATCGTTGAAATACATGTGTTTCCCTCTTGGAGCAGACGCCCACGTCCTGTCATAGTTTTTACTGCCACCTGTAGGTTTCTCCTGGGTGGTGATGAGGTCTATGATGGCTGTGATGACGGCACAGTCTTTGGACTGACGATTGTTCCAGTCCACAGGAGCTGGATTACTGATTTTCTCTTCTAACAGTGAATCCAGCTCTTTTTTTAAACTCTGCAGAAAACAGAAAATAAAACGGAAAAGAGTAAAAAATAAACTAGGCAGATTAGTTTATTTGAGTGGAGGTTTTGCGTACCTTAACAAGGTGAGCGATGCGTGCTGGGGATCTGAAGACGATCCACTGGTCGACTGCGATGGTCTCCTGGTCCTGGTCTTTCTGGATGGTGATGTCCCCTCCGAAGAACAGCAGTGAGAACGGAGACACCTCTGTGCAGTCGTACAAGAAGATCTGAAGGAAGACGGAGGTCAGTAGCACACAGTAACGGCAATATTACAACAGATTAACACATTCGGTGACAGGCGGCGACACCATTATGACACATTGTCTCTGACAGCTACTCTGTGGTGTGGGCTGAAAGTGTCCCATTAGTGAGGAGAGGATGTGCCAGTTTGAAATGTGTTTTGGTGCCTCTGGTGTTAGGAGAAATGTCATCTTGCCCCATCTGTGAATCTCCCTAATGTGTTACTTTCTCTACCATCCATTTCCCATGCTTCACTAACAGCTGCTTATGGAGAGCAGTTCGATTAGTCTCTTACCCAAAATAAAAAATCTTCTGACTAAATGTCATACTTAATAAAATATTAAGAATGAATTATTATAGCAATTTCAATGTCTGAATTATCAATACTGCAAAAAATGGTACACAATTTTATTACAAGTGCTACGCATTCAGCCTTCTAATAATTTTGTCATTGAAGCTAGATTTAAATGAAGTTGCCAGAATAATAAAGCACACAGAAAACGCTGTAACAAGCATGATGACAGAGAAGAAAAAGAAAAATATGGGGTGAAATGGGTTTAATGCATGTCTATCCTAATCACAAGATACAATATATTTAAAAGAGACATCATGCTTTTAAATCCTTCTGTTTCACATTTAAAATCATTCAGTTGGGGTCTATATAAAGTGGAACTGCAATACTTAGGTCTGAATTTATCGTTGTAACTCCACAAGCCCCTATTTCACCCTGCCTTTTCTGAGGTGTGTTTCAGATCAACTCGTTTTGAGGCTGTCCATCCAGCCTTACGTGTTATATTATATTACATGTTATTAGAGCCAGAGTTGGACCCAGAGCCAGAGGAGTTGAAAAGTCCTTGAATGTCTGTTTTGTTACAAATAATTTGATACAATAGTTCAGAAAACTGAATGGGTTGAAAAATATGACCTAAGCAGAACATAAAGCACACAGCACAGGGAGAAACTAAATTAAAAATTTCTGCACTGCTAGAGACTCCAACAAAATGCAACAAAATGTATTTAACAACTAAAAAAATTTGGATTTTGCACGATATGTCCCTTTTAAGTAATATTTTAATACCACAACACTCAGCTCAGTAAATGGTCCACTTTTACTTACTATTACAAATAGTTAGCCTGGTAAAAACCAGACCCTTGTCCTTCAATTTGCTTCATGCGAGGGTCTGGACTCTCGACTATAGAGAAGTGATTCTTGGTGGAGGCGTGGCCTCTGCTGAAGCTTAAAATGATTGGATCGGTTGGCCGCGATGTATGTGTGCCAGCTCCACTGTGAAGGAGGCTAAGCTAAGAAGCTAACCGGAAACTACGTGTGCTGTAAACAACCCTACTGAGAGGAGAGAAGTACAGAGCYGAACGAGACGACTGTAAATGAGAGMTGCTGCTTTRTCAGACAAATTTAATTTAATTTGGAAGCCTTATCAACACGGACTGGCTTCTTTCACTTCCTCCACTGCCATTGCTAAACTAACTAGCAGACACTGCGCAGAAAATCAACATCATTCAAAACTCTGCCTTCTGTTCTCTGATTGGCCCGGACGAAAATTCTCCTGAAGAAATCCTTGTCTATGGGAGAAATCCCAGACAGAGCAGTAAAGGGAAACTAGAATTGAGCGGAACTGCGTAGGAAGGCAAGGGCCAGGCTAACAAATAGTGTCTTTTAAAATAAATGAAAACAAAGTAACCAATCATAGTAGTGCTCTTGTTTTGAGTTTAAACTCCAGCACACTCTGTTCTCTTTATTGATGCATTTTTTGCCTTMACTAAAACCCTACACTCTCTGCAAGGCTGAAACTATTTAAACCTGCATAAACCAAGAAGATGAAAACAAAAGAGACAACGTCACGCTGCAAAGACAGTAAGTGTACTCAAAAACTATTTGAAGTGCATCATGTAGTAAATCCTTTTATTGTGAATATCATCATGCCACCATGAAAGGTGTGCACTAATAAGAACTGTCTGTGTGCAAATATTTGTTTGACTGGTGGCAAAATATCTCATGAACCACTGGACAAATTTGAATGAAACTCAGAAAGTAATCAATGAATGTATGTACATCCACAGCTTCCGGTAATTAATGTTTGCAATCAACCAAATTTAGGATGAGTATTAAAGCTAAAAGACCTTAGCAAACACAAATCACGATTTCTCAGTTATTTTTACAGATTTTAAGCTAAAATTGTGAGTCTGAGAGCGACTTCAAGCACATCAACAACTCCAAACATCATCTTTGTTTAAAACTTTGGGATGCAACGTGGTGGATGCACAAGTCAACAAATCTTCATTTTATCAGTGAGTTTTGACAAAAAGCATACCAAATGATAAGTTAATTACATTTTAATTATACAAGACTGCTTCACGTCTTGAAGCCATTTTAGGCCAAACAATAACAAAAGCACCTTCCACGGGATTCTTTTAGCAGGCACCCGGTGGCAGTTTGGTAAAACACAAACGTCAAACAAAACCAACCAAAAGTAGAAACACTAAAAGTTTGCGTCAAAACCCTGTGCCAGCAATAATAAGAACAAAAAGCTATGACAGCTCAGGGACAACTGTATTTACTCCATGAAAATTTAATGCAATGAACCACGAGAGGGGAAGTGCGTCAGAGGAGATGAAGTTTAACGTCATCCCCCGTTTTCTTTCTGCTTCTTTTTCTCCGTGTGGGCACCTAACCTTGAGATTCTCACATTTTCAAAATATCTTACTTTATGAACACAAAAGCACAGCACTGTGCACAGAAAGCATTTCAATGTGGTAAAAACTAAAATTAATACAGCGAAAATACGGTTCTACGTCAAGCCGGAGAAGTGGAAAACAAAGGCAGAGGTGGCTATTAGAGAGGCAATAAAAAAAGGTGTTTTCCTGCAGAAGCACTCACTACAGAGGTACAAAAAACAAAGATGATATATTGAAGGGACAGGAGAAAAAAAAAGAGTCTGAGGAGGGGTGCGAATAAAAAGAAAAGAGTGAGAAAGAGCTGGAGTCAGGAAACAGTATTGACCAGTTTGACCCCCACGACCACCTCTTCCATTGTGTCTGGAAGCTTTGAAGCACAAGAGCCTTTGAGAGGGAGTTGAAAGGTAGTGTTTTAATCAAATATTCATTAAGTGCAAAACTGATGCGGCATCATCGCCAACCTTTAACCGTTGGTACTTTTTATCTGCTCACAGGTATCCAGCAGAAAGGGTCCATTTCAAATCCCTAAATCCATTTTTACTCAGGGAAACTGGTTCGTTTTAGAAGTTTGCACACACCTTTTAAAAATGGGAGATGATCTCTCACAGCTGGAAACTTGTAGTGGAGCAAATGTACAGGTGCTGGTCATAAAATTAGAATATCATGAAAAAGTAGATTTATTTCAGTAATTCCATTTAAAAAGTGAAACTTG